TTACAACATAATTAAATGTTTCATTACAGCCTGATTGAGTCAAAGATACCCATTCACATCTGACCTGTAACTGATTGATAGACCTGGCGTGCACAGACTTGTGAGCAATCCTTTCAGTCGGCAGATGGTTTTTGTTGTCTAAGCCATACTAAGTACCTGTTGCTGCAGCACATTCCATTTTGGGAACAAGCGTTTTAGCCACTCAAGCAGCTCTATTCATTTGCCAGACCCTTTGCCTGTTTGCGCACATCGGTGGCTCAATTTGTCAGCAAGTGCGCGTCAGGCACTGCAACAGACACTTAACGCCGACCCAGCTAAATCAGCTAAGGCAGGCCTTAACAATGCTTTTTATACCCCGTGCACATTAAACATTTATAGCAAGCGGGTATAACAAAATTGCCAAAGTGCATGTAACACCCAGCAACGTATAAAGCATATTTTCCATGAGAATCCTCATTTGGGTAGATATATTGCACATCATAATATATATCTGAATACGATTATGCATATATAGCTGAAATCTGCTTACAAGGTATCTGCCAGACGTGCATTTAGCCCACTCGAGTATTGTTGCTACCTTTGGCTTAAGCCCCAAGCCCAAATGGGACTGCGGCATACGAGGCGTATGTGCAATTTACTAACTCAGACAGCTCGGCTGGCTAAACGATGGCAATGTGTGTGCTGCAAGAACCAATTGTGTGTGTCTGCGTGCAAGTATGTGTGTGTTTGTATGTATGTCTGTGGGTGTTTTATGTGTGTGTGGGGGGCTGGCAGACAAATTATGCAAATATGCGTGGCATATGAGCAGGCAATATTACGCATACGCCGAGTGCGCCATTAACCTCCCATGTGGGCGTCGTGGGCTTTGTTTTTGTGCCTAATCAAAAATGCTCTTAGAAAATCGCACACACTCTGATTATAAGTCGTTACTGCTGCTATTTGAATACACGAGATTGCAACACTTTTTGAGGGCATGAACCTGTAACGAGGACAGTCTCAAAAGTAAAAAATTCCTTTGAATTTCAATTCCTACGTGTTTCTTGTAAGCTGTTCTTGTTTTGATTTTAATTAAATATATTAGTACTTGTAGATAATCTAAATTTGGTTACCATAAAACTAATAAGTAACTAAGTCAGAGTAGCAGAAGGAAAAAGATATGGCTGTCAAGAGAATCAATTAGAGGAAGAGTAGGAAGGAATATAATTGTTATTCGATTTTCAACATAACTTGTTTATAATAATAAAAAGCCCTATATGAATTTATGAGAATCGCATAGTAAGGCGATATTTAAATACGTTTTTCTGCTTTAATGCAGCGTGAAGTAAGCTTGGTCTGTGTTTGTCTGTGTTGGTCTGCCCGATCCATGATCTAGTCAGTCGATTTCCATCAATTTTTCATCCATTTTCCGCTGATTATTTATAAATTTATAAATTTTCTGCTTTAAAAACGAGTTTTAAGGCAACCACAATATATTCATGCTTTTTTCCATTGTGCAAAGATTGACGGAATTGAAGTCTGGAATACGTCTTCGGAACTAACCGTAATCGTAACGTGTAAGGGAGGCGTGTACGAGTATTTCGTCGTGTTGTTTATTTTATTTGGCTTATGCGAGAAATTCAAAAATTGTCGGATTTCCTGTTACCAGCACATATCACACGCTCACACACACGAGTGCCTCTGTCGGCGTGTATGTGTGTGTGTGTGTTTACTAGTCAAGTGGCTTGGGACTGAGTTGGTTTTTTGGGTCTTGGATACGCTACTGTTAGCCACCGTGTCGCTCGTTTGGCGCGTGTTTACAAATTTAAAAATTTGTTTGTGTTTACTTGCCCTTGCACCAGGAAATCTGTGCCACGGTGGGCGGCACGGTCTGGCACGAGACGGTGTCGTGGCATTAAACGCGAATTGTCATAACTCAGCGTGTGCTCGTGACTTTTAAAGAAATTGTTTTATGCCCCAGCTCGAGCCGTACTCAACCGGTAAAGAGGTGTCGTGACATTGTCTTTACCTACGTAATAAATGGTTTCATTTAATCAAAGACTTTTATGGGGCGCGCTTCTAGGATCTATGCAAAGCAAAGCCATTTCTGGCGCGGTTAAGTAAACTTTATCCTGCGGTTGACATAAATCAACATTAAAATAGGCTCGAGCTGATGAAAGGCACTTTCACTGCGTACTTCGCCCAGATAAATGTGAGCTGAAAATTTTCATGAGTCGTAAAAGTTAGTTAAGTTTCCTTAGCCAAAATAGAATTTGCATGGATGAGCGTTAAGCACAGCGATGAGTCATGCTAATTGGAAGATGTATGAAGCTCAAGGTAAATGTTAAATGGCCTAAAATGAGTCGAGTCATTTAACAACTAAAAATTCACTTCAGAACACTTTGGCAAAACATCAATTTTTCATTCAAATGCATTGTCTATTTTAAGGGCTGGACAAACCACAACCAAAAGAAAATCACCTGCCACATTCGGGCAGGCGAATCAAATTTATCTAAGCCTCGAATTCAACCACAAGTTCAACTTAAACAAAAGACCACATAAATAGGCAAAGCAAACAAAGATGCCAAGCATCTTTGCCTGACAGTTAAATTTTATAGAAGAGGGATTGTTGAGTATGCAGCCAACCACTTGATAGCGCGCATATATACCCGACTTGTACACGCTGCTAGGGCATCAAAAGAAACAACTTTGCGACAACAGAAACTTTATCTATCTGTGTCGGAGTCTAAGCTCTAACACAGAAGATGAGACACAAAATAATTTGCCACAAACTAAATTGCATCATAGCTGAGCAAGGGGTAAAAACACAAGGACAATAGCGTATGTCAGTCCTAACTGAAACTGTCAACTAACGTCTGCCCTATCTAGCAGTCCCCCCACTCGCTCGCCCTCGCCCTCACCCTCACCCCCTCTCTCGATCTCAGAGTCTTTACCCCCCTTTGGCTTTTGAGCAAGTTTTGGGCAAATGCAAAGTTTGGTTGTAGGCAACTTTTTGGTAACCGCTAAAATGACTTGCAACGTCTTTTTAGGTTTTCGCTTGACGAGGAACGGACAGGCGGCAAAGGCGGGGAAATGCAACACGCAGCACTCTGTGCCACATTAAAGTCCACTTAGCCTAATTGCAGTCGCAAAGCTGAAACTTTTGGCTGTCAGCTTTAAGACTTGCAACGCGAATTTAATAACATATTATTATGTGCCCGTCGTCCAAAAACTAAAAGCAATTAAAGCCCCTTGTCAACAGCTGCTTCCAGCGCATTTTTATTCCACTCCCACTCCCGCTTCCACTCCCACTCCCCTAGGCAGTTTCCTCTCTGTCATATTTTGCACTCTTGACTTTCTCTGGCTCTCTATTTGCGCAACGCGTAAAATTTGACTGATTAAGTGCCGGGAGGAAGTCAAGTGGGCTTTACTGGGACTTGAGCTTGAGCTGAAGCAGCAATGGCTGCGAGATGGGCGACTTTCAGTGCAGCTGCAGGCAATTGTCGACTAACAAAAACTTTTCTTTGCCATCTGCTAGTCTTTTACCCTGCAGTCCAAGGCTGACAAGGTATGTGCACTAAAGGTGTCAAAAAGTACTTATGAATATAGGCTGTCTTAGCCAAGAGTAGTCCAGAGAGGGACAAGAATTTCTTAAAATTAACTAACAGATAAATATTTATGGGATTTAATATAAAAAGTTTTTGGCAAGAGTTCGCGAGCAGTTCCATACTAAAATAAAAAAAGAAAATAATAGGTAGTGGTAAAAGAAAAAGAAAAGCTTTGCTTGTCTCTGTAAACGGGAAACTAGAGTATATAATAAATTGCATTGTTAATCCCAGATAGTCAAGGACAAGATAAATGTCCAGTCTATTAAACTGAATGTATTCCGGAAGTTATAAAGTGCCCGCAAAAATGATGTAGATCGTAAAATATCAGTTAGAATTTCATTATGTTTGCAGAGTTGAATTGAATATTAAAGTCAGGCATGAGCACAAACAAAAAGGGATTTTATACTTGTAATATTGTTAATTGGTATTTCGCACTCTGGGGTACCCCATAGTCAATCAATGTGAGGTATTGCCGTTTTGGTGGGTTTCTTGGTTTTCATGTAGGCCACGTGATATTCGCTTTTTGTTTTAGCCTCATCTTGTTTTAATGCCGATGCCTGGGCGGGCATCGTTTGGACAGCTGTTGAGGCCATTTGACGTTGCCGCCAGCAATTGCGGGTTTAATGTGTCTCGTCCTGTCATTTGATGACCTCCTCTTGCTCCTCCACGATGAGCATCTTTAACGACTGTGCGGAGAGTGTAGCTAAAGATGCAATGCGTATTGAAAGATAATGAAATCAATCAAATTCAACATCTTCGACGGAATTCCTTTGGGATACTATCCAATTTTGACTCTGTGTAAATATTATACAGCAGAGTACAATATGACATTAAAGTATATGCTAATTTTTTATATTAATATTCAATTTTTTGTTTTCCGTGATTTAACGAAGAGCAGAGATTGAAGTCGAGATTGAAGTACATAAAGTCAAGCCAACAGAACAAAATAAAACAAAAAACAAGAACTTCTACCGAAATGTAATTTCTCACATTTTATTTGGAATATTATTTATTTTCCCTGAGATGGTGGCATAGCATCTCCCAAAGTCTCCTCTCCTGCCAAAAGGCCCATTGCCAAGGCAAGGATTACAACAATGAAATATTTCATGTTTAACAAAGGCAACTAAATGTGTTCTAAGTCTCAATTCTCTGGTGAGTTGATATTTAAGGCCCGGTTGAGAAGTGAACCAAGCAGAAAACACTTTTAGCTATGCTTGCATAATAAGTAGTACATATCGAATCGTTAATTTAAAATTGTTTTATGTAAGTGTGAAAAAATAGTTAAGAAATGAGAATAAAAAATATCTTCAATTTGTTCAGCGAAAATTTAAGCCGAATAACATAATTTCCGCACATGGCTAAAACTAATTAAATTAATTATATTATAAAACTGTGCCACAGCATGTAACAGCCAGATCTAGTATACATTCTTGACCAGCATCAATATCATATCAATATGATGAGCTGTGGGTAGCTTATCTCGACTTGGTTTTGTAAGAGGAACATCTCAATTGCAGTCGCTAGTTATCGTCAACGGCAACCAATTTAATGCCGCGTGCCATAAAAAAATTAACATATATTATGAAATTCCTGCACAAATACCCAATCAATAATGTAGTGTACCATTGCAGGGATCAGAGTCGGATCCGGAGCCAGAGCCCAAGTCAGAGCCGTAGCCAAAGCCGTGGCAAATTAAATATGCATACGTATTCAAATTACAAAGCGCGCGAGGCTCAGGCACAAATATTTATATATATACACACACACACTCAGATGGATATTGGGTATGCCCAGGAGAAAGATTTTTGGTTTTTCCAGGCCAGCGCCCGTTGCTTGGTATTGGTTAAGGCGCATCATTAAAGTCCCTGCTTGGATATATTCCCTGGCAGCACTGCGTGTCTGGCCGCCCTTTTGTTTTTGTTCCAATTTTTGCCAAAGAAACTGAAAACAAATATTGCCACTGCGATAACAACAACAAAAGCAAAAGCAGCAAGAAAATAGAAGAAATTATGGTAGGCATAAAAATAAATTAATGGCTCTGCGTGTGGTGAGCAAGGACAAAGCGACGCCTAATAGACCCAATGTTTCAATGGGGGGTTTTAATTAGTTCAAGCCACCCCCCCCCCCCCCCCTCCGCCGTCCTCCCGCTAATGTCATGCTAACCAATCGCCGGATTCCGTTGCCACATTTATTTGGCTTTTATAATTTAGTATGCGTAATTTCCTCGCCTCGCTTTTCATACGTGAATATTTAATTTCCTTTTCCATCTCGCTCATTCGCCTATTTTTGTCTCTTTCTTCTGTTTGGAATTTGATTTTTGTCCTGCTCGCATTTTATTTTAATATTTATTGTTTGGCATTTCATTGCCAAGACTTTTATGTTTATGACTTGAGCTGAGCTGCGTTGAGTTGAGTGCAGATTGTTATAAAGTGCTGCCACAACTCGAGGCGTTCGAGGCGCTCGAAAGGGCGCTAAGAGGTTATACAAATGCAAAAAAGTAGACATTATGTTCCTTTTGTTATTTTACTCTATATGGCATAAATATAAAGCGCCTGCTTATAAGCCAGGTTATTTTGGCTAAATTGGCATATTATAATTCTGTTAATATTCCGATTTTTACTTTGTTTTTATTTGCAACTTTATAGGATTTTTTTAACATCTCAAAGACTTCGAGAGTTACGCCAGATAAATTTAATAGTTCTCTCCTTACCATCTCAAGTTAATTCTTCTATTTCCATTGCTTATCAATTTAGATGTTTTTTTTCATCTCTTTATCTTGGTTTATGTTTTGATTTCACGGCCACAAAGAAGGCAAATTCAGAACTGTCTAAGAGATTTTTCCTTGTCAAGGAAGGAAAGAGATTCCATTTAGCTCTTGCCAATAATTAATTCTCATTCAAATCGTTTTAAGTTTAAAGAGTCCCTTTCTCAGTTTCTGCAGTTTGGTCGTTGTAATCCTTTAAGGATTTCACCCATTGATAGAGCAAAAGTTTTTCGGTTGGATTTTTATTGACAGCAGAACTGCGTACAAAGTGCCACGATTTCCATTCTAAAGTTGAACGCATTGGCAACAATTCGAGGCCAGAGGTTTATGGCCGCAGGAGAAACTTAAATAAAGTGGCATTACTTGTTGGACTGCAGTTGGGGTGGATCTCAGCACTTAGCTGAGGCAGTCAATCTTCGTGCCATTTGCATATTCATTTTGCATTACTTTGTCACCAGTTTCGAGAGGAGTGCTTCAGCTTGCCCCGCTGCCCGATTGGATGGGCAGCTGGGGCAACTCGAGTGGAAAAGTTAACTCGAAATGCAGCTGATATTGCTTTTCAGTTTTATGATTCGCTTCGAAACATTTTTGGCATGGAAATTCACCAGCACGGTTAATGCCCAATCTGAATAATTAAAACGAACGGCTTCATTTGGAAAGGCGCGCATCGCTGTGAGCGTTAGGCCAGTTTCTGGCACTTACAACTTAATTGCCAGCAAAGTTTCCCCAAACAAAAATATTATTTTATGTGTGCCCCCTATTCGAAATTAAGAAAACTTTGCTTAGCGTTTGACGTCGCCGGCTTAGGAGGCAATGGCTACAACAGGAGGCCTAAAATGAGGCGGCTCCGACAACTAATGAGCGTATTGTTTGCCAGATAAACGTCATGGGTGGGCGTGGCCGGATGCGCGGGGTAGCTGAACAGCGGAACAGGAAATGGCTGTTGTTGTCGAGGGCAGTTCGGGTATCTGCAAAAGGGTTGAAAAGCCTTGAAAAGTTTTGCCAGCGTTTTCTGCTTATGGGCATGGATTATGGATTGTTTGGGTTCTTTTTTTGGTACTTGTTGTTGTTGTTGTGATTCTCAAACATTGCTTTACATAAATACAAATGAGATATTACTATAAATATATATTAATTTTTAGGCCAAGTGCATTCAACTGAGACATAATCAAAGCTGGCCTAGCATGTGCTTAGCCAAAGAGCAAAAAAAAAATTATAATTCCCAAATGGTTTTGGCACAAAAGCTACAATGTATGATCTACAGCCACTAGACTAAATTGAAAATCGCTGGTTCAAATCATAGATTGTGTTCTTGCTTATCTGATATTTTATCTTTATGTATTTGTTTAAAGAGTGGAATTCACATCTAAATTCTAGCTATATTCATGGACAAATCTTAATAATTACATACAAAACTATAAGAATTAACCTAAGACTTTTAAACTTTCGTTCTTCTTAAGCTTTTTAGAAGTCTACTTTATTGTCTACATTAATTTCAAAGTTTTTATCGCGAATTTTAAAAATATTTAAGAGCTTTGCTTTGCGTTTGCTTTAAAGTGCTACAAAATGGAATGTAATTAAATTTTTGGCAATTCGTTTAATTGAGTTTTAGGCCGCAACTTGTGGACCGAAATTGAAATTTGCCGGCGATTCCAGTGCGCCGTCCTCAGCTCCATCTCTGTCTCTATCACATTATCTATTTGCCTCTCCCTCCCCCAAGTTGGTTTGAGTCCGCCTCAAGTTGGCTTCAATTCATTTAATTTTTTTTGCGGCTTAAGCGTTTTCATCGCACATTTTACGGCCACTCCCGAAGACTGTTTGCGCTGTAATTAAGTGCGTCTAATTTGTGTTAAGCGCTGCGCCACTTGAGCATTGCCATTTTTGTTGCTGCTCCTGTGCTCGAGCACATTTCCACGTGTAGGCTTTAAAGGATGCGACTGCCGTTGGCAAAGTCAAACTGCCGTAAAATTGCCGCCTTCGCGTAATGCCGTTGGGATTTTTTTTGTGAACATTTTTGTGAGTGATTTCTGTGCATGTTTTGGGCAGTTTTCCGTTGCCTCCTGTAGCACCGGCACTAGTTACACGGTCGAAGAAATGTTTAAAAATGTTTGATTGAACACGGAACTTAATTCAAGTAAAATCCGCAAATGGAATTCACATTGGTTGAGTTGCAAGAAACATCAAAACTGTTGCAGACCAAACTTTTAATACTTTACTTGTCACTCAATTATTATTTCAACTTGATTTGAATGAATTGGCCACAATTTAATTGCATTTCATTTCATTGTACTTGAATGCAATGGCCCAAAAGCATATTTGCTTATTGTCTGGTAGAAGTTTTTATTTAACCAATTTGCAAGTCAAGTAACAACAATAAAGTTCATTTTTGCTTAGCTTAAAACTCAGTCAGATGAAAATTAAAATGTCTGAAAGTTTTATGATATGTTTTAGTTGAGAATGGCAGTTAAATTCTTGCTTGCACTTGGACTAAGACCAATCCTAGTTTAAGGCTTTGTTATAATTTCTTTAAAACTTTGTAGCTAACAAATGAATTTAATCTTTTATTATCACAGGTTAATGGACCGCTTTACTATATATTCAGTACATAATCATCCATTAACTCAGCTGTAGAGTCGAGCAAAAGGCGTGTCGTCCTCTTCTAAATTTCTTTTTATTAGATCGTCCTGTATAATTACCCAAATCCCCTGTGAAGCATAAGCACTAATTAACGCTTAAGCTTGAGCTACTTACCCAGGTCTCTGGCAATTGTATTAAAAACTCAAATTTTATTTCACTCTGCTCTTTCACCTTTCACTTGTGGTTCACCTTTTGCATCTACAACAAATGCTTTAAGACAAGTTTTCCGACCCGTATCATGCATGCACCGTTATGCACTTTGCCGGCAATCGTTTGCCGTACTGTTAGATCTGCGCTTTTTACTTGGCGCTCAAAAGTAAGCAACGGTTTTTGTATGATTTTACGTTCTATCTTGTTCTCTCTTACCAACACTCACAGACACACACACACACCGATAGCTGCTGCTGCTGCGTTGGCAACGCGTACGAAACGGCAACTGCTTTGGGTTTTATCAGCGCGCCAGTATTTAAGGCGAGACTGCGAAAGCTTTCCTCGTGGAGCTTTCACGAGAGAGCACTCGTCAGTTTTCGACCAATGTTGGCATCCGTTTCGACCAATTTGCTATTGGCCATTTGGCCACTTGATTCTTGTTTGCCGCCAATTGTTTTGAAGGCAACAAATCGAAGCCACAGCGAAACCAACACATGGTTTATTTCCAGCTTCAGTCTGGACAGGTTTGCCTCTATTTTGTGGCCTTTTTCTTGTCCATACGCGCAGGAAGGTGGCACAAAAAAAACTGCATGCAAATTATTTGGCTCTCATAATTTATGGGCCCCTGTCAGCTAAGCGAATAAATTACAATTTATCTTGGAGTTGCCGTTCGGTTGGTCCAGCTTCTTGGAAGTTGCAAGTGCACTTGCGATACGAATTTTTTTTTTTTTTTTGGCAGAGTATTTTGTATGCTTAGGTTTGTGTGATCGCAATGCGTCCTGATACACAAAATTTGAACATTTCTTTAATTTATATATTCAGTTTTTCTCTACAACCAAATATCATATAAGAATAAATCCCGCACTCCAACCAGTCACTGAACTAGTTAAGAAAGTGCATATATATGTCTGCACAAAGTCAACGTCTGACTGTACTGTTTTTTTTTTCTTAAACGGAAACGGAAATGCCAGCAGTAGTAGTGCTTTCACAAAAAAGGCATGCCGATGGGGCTGCCGGGCACTTGGGGGAATCGAGCGTGGACCATGTTGCTCAGAGCGGTGTTTTCCTACTTTCGACTATTTGCTGTATGCAAATTGCAGAAACCTTTTACGAAGAGCAAATATAAAGATCGATTAGACAATCTCCAACTACTATCTGACAGGCTGACAAGGACTCAATGACGGCATTGAACTTGTCTACACACAATAACCAAATTCTTGCCCCTTTGCAGCTGACGTCCAACTTGCATGTCGTGTTCAAAAGTTGCGCTAACCTTTGCATGATTTAATTAATTGTAGCATACTTTTGTGCGCCGACCAAAAACTTCACACCTGAATGCACAACAGCAGCCCCTGAGCATTTGCTGAGTGCTGTGAAACGTTTGCCACTTTTGCATTCACAGCTTTGTGCGCTTCTCTGTGTGTGTGTGTGTTGGAGTGTCTATGAGTGTGCATGTGTGGTAATGGCCGTAGTGCCTGACTAGTTGTTGGAAAAGTTTGTAAGGGTTCTCAGCTTGCGGTTTTTTTGTTTTTTGTTTCTTGTTTTTCCGTTGTTTTTTTTTTTTTGGGTTCGAAATGAATGTCTCAATTCATTTTACGCTACAGTGCGTCCCAAGTGGAGCGAGCCATGCAAAAAGGACTGCGGGCTTGGGTTAACATTCAGATTCAGCTCAGGAGGCGTAGGGGCCAATTTGCGGGGGCAGGGAGTGGCGAAAAGTGCAAGCGTCGCAGAACAGTCTTCGCCGCCCGGCATCATTACAATTTGTTGATTTGCTTCGTTAAACAGCAAACAACAGTCGAAAAAAAAAAAACAAAACAAAAAAGAAAGAAAAAGGCGCGCGAAAGGATAAAGTTGAAATGAAGACGACGACAACAGCGCTGACGACTTGGCAGAGGAAGCAGCAGCATCAGCAGCAGCAGCAGGAGCATAAGAACAAGCAGCAGCAGTCAGCCTCAGGCAAAGCCGGCTGCGGCCACTGGCTGCTCTTTGTAGTTATTGCTCTCTGTTTCTTTTATATACCCTCGACAATGGCTCTCATTCAAATGGGTGGAACAGACTTAAGGTAAATTACTTCGTTCAGCATATAGATCTCTGAGACAATAAGAGCTGGAGACGCAAGTTATCTGAAGCTCATGCCTTTTCTCTAAAATCAATAGGTGTCGATTTTAAGATTGGGTATTTGAGTACAACTCGGAGCTTATAAGAACTAGAAATACCTAATGGTATACAGCTTCATGTTTACTTAATAGAAATCTAGACTATTTTAAAACCTTCTTCCCAGCATTACAATTAATTATAATAAATGTGAAGTTGTGCTTTGTGCCATATTAAAATCGCACTGTCAAGTAGCTTTCAGCTGGTCGTTACAGGGTATCTGCTGTTCGGCCACAGCCGACTTGTAGACTCCTACTTGTTCATTTCGCCATTTAAAAAGCATTGCATGGCTCCCTATTTGCTCAGAAAATAAAAACTGACATGGGATGCCGACGCTGTGGCAAGGCGTTGATGTCGGCGACATTGAAGACGCCAGCTTCAAAGGCAGCGCCGCGAGCGCCTAAAATCCGCGTCGCGCCACAAAACGATGCGAGCTGATGTAGCCACTGGCTATATCCAAAGAGGGGAGCAGACGAGAGAGAGAAAGAGAGAGGGGGGGGGGGGAAGGGGAAGGAAACAGCAGATTGGTGGCAGTTTGCCAAAGCAATCTTGACTGTTAGACGACAGCAAGAGCAAATGTAAGAGGATGGCAAAGTGGCAATGGCTACTCTGGGAGGGCATTGCGTGAGCAAAGACAATTTGGTAATATTTTTTGGCCAGTTGAAAGTATTTTGTGTTAAATTGAACAGAGATACGAGATTGCATTTGAGCGCAAAGTTGATTCAAAATGCCATTTTTCTATCCCTTTAGAGCTATATCAACAACTGTTTTCGCTTGGACAAGCATCATTCGAAATATCAACTATTTGATGCTTGTTTTGTAGACACACCTCGTCCTCGTCCTGTGCGGAAACAAAGAGCAATGTCCACATGACATCTACCCAACACAAACAAGCGCCACTTTGGTCCCTTCCACATAATTCAATTTAAATTAATTCTATTTTTGGTTTACTCGCTTCTCGCTTCTCACATCGCATAATATTCTAATTCTCTATCAATTTAAGAACTGTGCAGCTTTTTTGCTTGGCTTACTTTTACTTTTATTTAAATTGTTTTCGTTATTTTTTTATCGTCGCGTGCTTTGCCCTCCGCCACACACAATTAGATTTATTTGCAAATTATAACTTAAATTGCCACATGGCCAAAACAGATTTTTTTTTCTGGCCGAAATGTTGGAGCCGCAGCTTGTGCCATGAAAAAGCTGCAAGTTACCAGTTGCCCCGCGGCCATAATTCAAAGCATACTTTTGGGCGGCCCGCAAAGCAAGCGCTTTATTATTGGCATTTAATATCAGCCGGCTTTATACTTTTTTATCAGGCAAAAAAGGCTCATTGGTCGACTCATTAAATTAGTAAACGGATGTGCGGCTGATCATAATTACGTGTACGTAAGTTAATAGCCTATTTTCGACTTAGGTCTGCAGTTTCGGGTGTGCCATAATCACAATACATTTTAAATACTTATAAATTACTCGGTATACAAGCATGTGAATTTATGAATTTAATCGCATCTGTTCGGCAATTATTCACTGCTGTGTCAGATAAACATTCGGGTTGATTGATGCGCAATTACAAATTACATTCCATGGTTTTAAATGTCACGACCGCCCGTTTATTTCAGATCGCAGTGCCTAATGTTGACCGTTGCCAGGTGTATCAAGCGCACGGACAGGGACAGACATGTTAATTGGTTTGTCGTGGAGCAAAAGCTTTTAGAACTGTTAGCGCTGTTCGCAATGAGGAGAAAATCCAAGCTCATCTTTGAATGGGAGGGGCCTGCAACCGGAAGAAACATTGCTGCTCCACTTTGCAATCAATCGAAAGTTTTAACACAAAGTGTTGATCTTGAATAACACCAGAACTTTTAACTAACAACTACCTTTTTTTTCTTTATTATGTGATTAAAGCAATTCATTAAATATTTATTGATAGCTCAACAATGCTTTGTGTAACAAAGTAGCCACAATGTAAAGAGATAAACTTTTGTTATGCTTGAAACTAATAATAATAAAAACTATAAACTAAGGAAATCCACGGCATGCCGAAGCTTTAATGCCCTCCTTGCAGACATTTCCCTTTTGCAGATATGTGAGAACAGCGCAGCTCGAAAATGATGACTTTTGTTGAAATATCTTTGAAAACAGAGTATTTTGCCTTTTAAGATGCTACTATTCCGCCAATCTTTCCAATAGCAGGTATATGATATAATGGTCAGATTTTTGATAAGATTTGCAGATGTTTGAGTAACATAATGGAACTAATAAATCCCGATAGATCGTTCCCATGGCAGCTATATGATATAGTTGTCCGATCCGGCTGTAGCAACACATATATATAACCCCGCAAGAGGAAGACGGACCTAGGCTGAGTTTCAAGACGATAGCATTAAAATTTAGCGCCTCGTTCGCATGGTAATATACACACGGACAGACAGACGGACAAGCAGACAGACAGACAGACAGACAGATGGACGGATGGATAGACGGACATTGCCATATCATCTAGAATATATATATTTTGATGTCTGAAGATGTCTCCTTCTTTGTGTTACATACTTCATGACAAAATTATAATACCCTTTAAAAGCGTATAAATATAATAATCGATTTCATGTTCGTTTTTCAATAATCAAATCATATGCAACGTTGTCCACAATTTCTATTAATTTTTATTTATTATTAATTAGTTTTTATTTCTGTCACTTTTGAGGTTTATAATCAGTATCTGCCACTGGCAACACATTTTATTTGAAATTTGCTGGCCTTATCTGCGGTTCGAACCCGAAGCTATTACTAGAGCATTATTGGGTCAACACTTCTTTTTATCACTGCC